CGAACCGACGGAGCACAACCGACTGCGAATCGGCCCGAGCCGACCGGACCGCAGACACACTGCGGTCGGGACTTTTTGCTTCGCGTGTGGCCGCGGCGGCCCCGGCGACACGCTATGCCCTGCAAGCGGGTGGCGTGTCGCTCCGTTCTGCGGGGCGAACGGCAGGAACAAAGTCTCGGCACGTGGCCGCCTGGGAGCCGCAGAATGGGCAGCCTGTCGCGCCCAAGCGCGGTGGGGCCGGAGCCGGTATAGAGCGACACGCGAAGCAAACGTTCCCGACCGCATGCCCTCGCAGGTGGTCACCTGGCGTCGCGCATCGCGACGACCTTCGCGCTCCCGCGCCCCCACGCGGCCCCCCCTGGGAGGGCCAGCGCTCCAGCCCAGGCCGCGGCGCGCGGCGCGAGGCTGCCTTCGCGCCCCTGCGGGTAGCCCGCCCGCGCGCCCTGGCCCCGCCCCGCGCACGGAATCCCGCTGAGGAACAGCGCCAGCAGCGCCAGGGAGCCGAACAGGGAGTCCAGCAGCACCACGAGCTGCACCCGGCTGGGCAGCGCCAGGCTGAAGAGGGACAGCCTCGATCGGGCGGGGGGCGGACCGTCGCCGCAGGACGGACCCTCCACAGGATGGCCGCTCCGCCATCTGCGCCAGGGGCAGGGGCCAGACTGAAGAGGGGCAGCCTCGCCCCTTGGGGGACGGCAGGGGTTAGCGGCGCGCCGAGGGGGAGGAGGGGGAGGAGGAGGAGGAGGAGGAGGAGGAGGAGGAGGAGGAGGAGGAGGAGGAGGAGGAGGAGGAGAGGAGGAGGAGGAGGAGGAGGAGGAGGAGGAGGAGGAGGAGGAGGAGGAGGAGGAGGATAGGGGGAGGAGGAGGAGGAGGAGGAGGAGGAGGAGGAGGAGGAGGAGGAGGAGGAGGAGGAGGAGGCGGAGGAGGGGGAGGAGGAGAAGAAGGAGGAGGAGGAGGAGGAGGAGGAGGGGGCGGGCCCTGCTCAGAAGTGGGCCGGGTTTCTCAGGAGGCCTCGGGCAGGCCCGCCTCCTCGATCTGCCTTCCCCCCCCTGCGGGCTCGCCGCCGAGGGTCCGGGAGGTAGACTGTCGCCAAAGAGCGGGCACCCAGACCCCGTCGCCAAAGAGCGGACAACATCGGGCGAGGATGAATCGGGAAACTTTGAGATCCAGCGGCTCTGGAGGATGTCTCGGGCGCCGCGGCCTTCTCAGAGCGTTCAGGAACGCTCTGGAATGGCAATATCCTCGTCCTAGCCCCGCCCGACGACGTCATGACTTAGGAACGATGTCGGCCCCCAGAGGTTTCGGCCCACTTCCCCGGGACAGGCTTCTCAACCCGATGTTCCTCTTTGACGGTCCCTGGGGTACCGGGGAGGAGGAGGAGGAGGATGAGGAGGAGGAGGAGGAGGAGGTGGAGGAGGAGGAGGAGGAAGAGGAGAGTGAGGAGGAGGAGGAGGAGGAGGAGGAGGAGGAGAAGGAGGAGGAGGAGGAGGAGGAGGGCAGAACCTTGCTGTACGCTTCCGAGAGCGATGGGAAGCAACTTCTACGAATAAGACGGGTAACATAATATATAGAGAGAGATGGCATTTTTGGAGAGAGGGGGTGGGAGAACAAAGAAGGACAAGCAAATCGCAAACCACCCCGCATGTCTCACAACTCCGGCTGCCGAGCGCACGCAGTTTCCCACTGCGTGCCAGGCCCGGCACAGAACTCTGGACCCAGGCCGCCAGGCACATGTATGTGAATACGAGTGATGGCAATGTGGACTGGAGGAGGAGGAAGAGGAGGAGGAAGAGGAAGAAGGAGGCGAACCCCTGAAGGCGCAACACCCGTACAACAACGCGCATCATGTTTCAGGGCGGTCTTGCTGCCGAGGCTTCAGTGGTCACCCCTGCCCACCCCTGGCCAACCAAGCTCACAAACTACGATCGTCCCCGATGCGGGGGCCAAGTTCTTCGACGTCTATGTACATCACCGTGACGATGGTTTCTTTAAATCTGCCTTCGCCAATCGCGAATAGCGCAGCAGGGCGGGAAAGGTTCGGAAGAACAGAAATACTCCAACTTCTCCGCGCGCGGGCGCATCCTGCGTAACTGTCTAGGGTGTGGCGCGGAGTAGTTTCCCATCCGGCGTTGGAGCAACAAAGTTATAAGCACCAGGCGGACCGGAAACTACTCTGCCGAATGACGCCATCATCAACATCACCATCACCATCATCATCATCATCATCATCATCATCATCATCATCAACATCATCATTACCATCATCATCATCATCATCATCATCATCATCATCATCATCATCATCATCATCATCATCATCATCATCAGCATCAGCATCAGCATCATCATCATCATCATCATCATCATTATCATCATCATCATCATCATCATCAGCATCATCATCATCATCATCATCATCATCATCATCATCATCATCATCATCAGCAGCAGCAGCATCATCAGCATCAGCATCAGCATCAGCATCATCATATCAGGAATGTTGATGGGCATCGGATATATCTTCGCCGCTGCAAATTAGAGAAACGGTTGTCACGGTTGTGTAAACTTTCTCATGCCGTGGACCCCCAGAGGTCTGCATCCCTTCCCCTGACGGGCTTCACATTTCGACTAGTTTCTGCTCGGGCCCCGGGGGCCTGAAACTGCCCAAACAACTTCTGTCGCGATTTGTCCATTGCGACGGGAAGTCTGGGGAGGAGGAGTGATGGTGAACGTTAGGGAGGACTGTCCCAAGGCGGGAAACATCGAGCTGGAATCGACGATGTATCGCGGATATGTCGGCGATGAGGCCAGAGGCTCCACACGCTCCCTGGCGGGGTGGGCTATCAAGCCCCTGTCGGCCAGGAGTGGACGTTCGGGGGGTGATGCACCCCCACCTGAGCCGAACGGGGGGAATTATATTCCCCCCCATAGGCTCAGGCGAAAAAATGCATTCCTCGGCGATGCGGGTGAGAAATGGAAACCACCCTAATGTTGACTGACACCAACCGTTTTCTGGCCTTACGTCGGGCCTTCGGTGGCCGTTCGGAACGATTGAAGCAACCCCAGAGCGCCCTCGGCGAGGCGCAACTGCTGAGAAGCACCCCGAGCGGGAAAACCTTCAGGAATCTGCGAAAATGGATGGAAACCCCGAACACCTCCCTGAGGGCTTGAATACGTTTCGCCAATCGACCTGTGGGGATCGAGCCAGATAAATCAAAGCCGATGCAGAAAAACGCAGGTAAAGCCAAATAAATCGCGCACCAGTTAAATCCAGCGGTCTCCAGGGAAATTTGGAGCAAATCGTGGCCACTCCAGCGCGAATCGAGGGACGGCAGACGTCGTTAAGCCGGGAACGAACACCTCGGACCCGAACGACCCCCCCCCCCCGCGAAAGATTCCACCCGTTCCGCAGGCGAGGGCGCCCCCCCTGAGCGCTATCCCCCCTCACGTCACCCCCGAGGAGGCGCCAGCAAGAACGCTCCTTGCGGACTGCCGAACAGACGCAGCTCTGCAATCCGTGCCGTCGCCTCGCTTGGCACCCATAAGGCGCCGTTGCCCGCTCACCGTGTTCTCTCAGTCTCCTCCTCCTCCTCCTCCTCCTCCTCCTCCTTCTCCTATTCCTCTCCTCCCTCCTCCTCCCATCCCTCGTCCTCCAGCCGCACCCTCCTCTTCCTCTCCTCCTTTTCCTCCTTTTCCTCCTCCTCCTCCTGCCTCCTCCCATGGGCCGCTTGCTCCTTCTGCCCCTCGTCTTCGTCCTCGTTCTCCTTCCGCACCACCTGGTCCCCTTGCCTCTTCTGACCCTCGTCCTCGTTTTCGACGTCGTCGTCGTTGTCCTCCTCCTCTTTCTCCTCCTCCACTCCTGCTCCTCCTCCTCCCTTCTCTCGTCCACCTCCTGCTGCACCGCCACCTCCTCCTCCTCCTTTGTTGTTCCCCTCCTCCTCCTCCTCCTCCTCCTCCTCCTCATCATCATCATCATCATCGTCATCATCATAATCATCCTCATCATCATCATCATCATCATCATCATCATCATCATCATCATCATCATCATCATCATCATCATCATCATCATCAACACCATCATCATCATCATCATCATCATCATCATCATCATCATCAGCAGCAGCAGCATCATCATCATCATCATCATCATCATCATCCCCACCATCATCATCCCCACCATCATCATCATCATCAGCATCATCATCATCATCAGCATCAGCATCACCATAATCATTATCATCATCAGCAGCAGCATCACCAGCACAGTCATTATCAACAACATCACCACCACCACCACCATAATCATAATAATAATAATCATCATCAGCAGCAGCAGCAGCATCACCATCGTCATCATCACCATCAGCATCTTCATCATCATCCTCAACATCACCATCGTCATCAGCAGCATCAGCATCAGCATCATCATCACCAGCATCATCATCAGCATCAGCATCGTCTTCATCATCAACATCATAATCAGCATCATCATCATTAACATCCCTTCTCCCTTCTCTCGTCGTCGTCTTCCTCCTCCTGCTTTTGCTCTCTTGTCGACGTACCATGGGGCCGTCCTGCCCTCGCCCTCGGCGTCACTCCTCCTGCTCCCGCTCCTGCTCCTGTTCCTCGCCTGCTTCTGCTCCTGCCCCACGTCTCCTGCTCCTCCGGGAGTGGCGTGAAGGTGGGGAAGTGCCAGGGCAAGGAGTCAGAGGAACATCGTCCTGGACGGCCCATGCAGGGGAGGGACATCTTAGCTCCAAGCTGGGTTCGCTCCCTGACCCAACCCTGGGCTACACCCCCCTCTGTGCCCTCTATAGTAGATGAATGCGGCAAGAAGTCTTACTATAAGGAACCTTGGGTCCTTGATGTTAGAAGATCCGAAGGTGCCCCAGAGCTTTGGTGGGTCGGTCCCTGGGGGCATCGGGATGCGAAATTCCCGTGGGACGCCGGCTGCATCCTCCTCCCCCCTGGGGCTCCCCAAACAACTTAGCCCAAACAACTTAGCGCGGCAGGAACCCCTCCCGGCCCAGGAAGGCAAAGGCGGGTGGCCCTGCGATCGGGTGCACCACCCCGAGGAATCTGCAGAACAGCGCACGCACCTTGGTCTGGAAGTACTCGGGCTCCTGAGCAAGGAGGGCGAGACATAGAATGCGAGTTCAGGTTCAGGTGGGCGAGACGGAGGCGGCAAACCTCGACGTACACTCCAAGTGTGCGGCAACAAGGCGGCAACTTATTCAAACGCCGCGCCCTCGACGCTCAGAAATCGCGCTCTCGCATTGGCAATTTTCTCACGGTTTACTTGAAAACCGCGCTATCGCTCGAGACCTCCCTGCGATGCATGCAGGACTCACGCTTCAACAACCCGCCTGCTCGACCTGGCCGCCTGGGCCCACCTTTCGACCCGCCCGTTAGGGTTTACCCGCTCGATCTGCCCGTTTGATTCTGCCACGTGTTTTCTGCTCCAAACCCCCCCTCCTGCGAATCTCTCCCGTGCTCCATCCTTCTCCCTCCTCCCTCCATTCGTCCTCTCTCCCCCTGTTGTAGGGGCTGCAGCAATTACACGTGGCAGGTGAGTAAGACATACACTCGAGGGGTACGATTGAAGCTGAAAAAGGCGGGCATCGAGGGTTTTGGATATACGTGTTGAATGGAACGCGAGCAGATAAGGACGAACAACCTTAACATGTTTGTTATTGTTGGTGGTGCTAGTTGTTAAATCCGCACTTCTAAAGAATCATCCTTGCTACCCCCCTGGTGACCATTTTGCACCTTTCACTTGAAACGCTCCTCGTGGGGTCCTGTGGTCACCAAAGCTGCCCCCCTGGCCCCCAATTTACGACAACAACGGCAACAATAACCGTTCCCGCCTGATACTTCCTCACACGGTATTTCAAATTCGCGCTGTCACGCGGGACTCCCTAGCAATTGATCCACGAGCCGCACGCTCGCGTTGCAACTCCTCACAATTCATTGCGGCGGCGTGCCCCCCCAGACTCACAAAGCACTCTCTCGCCTTGGCTATCACACCGAATTACTTGGGAATCGCGCCATCGCTCGAAACGTCGTTCAGGATGAAATGACGATTTAACTACACGCCCGATCGACCCGAACGTCTGGGCCCGCCCGCCCGACCTGCCCGATAGGACCCGCCCGCCCGACACGCTAGGCTGGTTCTGCCGCTGGTGCTGCTGCTCTACCTCCTCCTGCAAATTCCTCTCGTGTTCCATCCTTCTCCAACCCCCTTGTCTCCTCAGTCCTCCCCTCCTTCCCCTGTTTTAGGGGCTGCGCCAACTACATGCGGCAGGTAGGGAAGATATGCCCCCAAAGCGGGCACGTTCGAAGACGACAAAGGCGGGCACCGAGGGTTTGGGCTATACGTTTTGCATGGCCCACGAGCGCATAAGAGCGAACAATCTTGATTGTTGTTGTCATTGAACGTTCACCCTTGAATAATTACTATTGGTCCCCCCGCCACTGGTGCACATTGTGTTTCACTTGAAGTGCCCCCCTGGGGGTCCGCACGCTGAGTTTTACCAGGGAGAGTCTTCGTGCTCAAACTGTGTTGGTGGCCCCTGGTGTCCAACAACAGCGGCTCCTGCCGGATACTTCCTCAAGTTATTGAGAAGTCGCACTCTTCCGCAGGACTGCCCCGCCACTTATGCACGAATCGCGCTCTCGCGTGGGACTTCCTCTCGACACTCAGGAATCACGCTCTCGCTGTGGTCTTTCTCACGATTTACTTGGGAGGCGCGCTATCGTTCGAGACCTCCTTGCGATGCATGCAAGACTCACGCTTCAGCGACCCGCCTGCTCGAACTGGCCGTCTGGGCCCGCCTTCACGACCCGCCAGCTAGGGTCTACCCGCCCGATCTGCCCGTCGGGTTCTGCCACGTGTTTCTGCTCCTACCCCCGTCCTGCTCACTTCTCTGGTGTTCCATCCTTCCCCCCCCTTTCCATCCGTCGTCGCCTCCACTGTTTTAGAGTCTGCGCTACATGCACGCGGCGGGCAAGGAAGATATACACCCAAGGGGGCACGATTGAAGACGAAGAGGGCGGGCATAGAGGGTTTAGGATACACGTGTTCAATGGAACGCGAAGAGATAGGAGCGAACAGTCTCAAACTGATTGGTGTCCTTGTTGCACTCTAATGTGCGTAAGTAGTGGTGTTGATCCCCCCTGCCCGGTCACCAGTACATGATTTCAATACAAGTGCTTGTCCTCGGGCTCGCGCTCTGTCTTTTACGAAGGACTGTGAAGTGTCACCAACATGCGCCCCTGGCCACCAATTTACAACAACAACAACAATAATAACAACGGCTCCCGCCTGATACTTCCTCAAATGAATTCCCGAATATCACTTTCGCGTGGGACGTCCTCACAATGTATATCGCGCTCTCGCGAGGGACTTTCTCGCAGTGTGTTCAGACGCCGCGCCCTCGACACTCAGTAATCACGCTCTCGCTATGGATGTCTTCGCGATTTATCTGGGAATTGCGGTATCGCTCGAGACATCCTCGCGATTCATGCGGGACACGCGCTTCAGCAACCCGCCTGCCCCGTGCCCCTTCCTCCCATCCGTCCTCCCTTCCCCTGCCTTAGGGGCTGCACGAAATACAAGTTCCAGGTCAGAACTATATATATATACCCCCAGATGGGTACGATCGAAGACGGAGAGGGCGGGTATCGAGGGTTTGAAAGATACGTGTTGAGTGGCCCGCGAGCACATAAGAGCGACCACCCTTAACCTGAGTGTTGTTGTTATGTTTGTTGTGGTTGTTGTTGTTTGTGATGTGTTTGATATAGTTGTTGTTGCTGATGCTGCTGCTGTTGTTGGTGCTGTTGGTGTTGCACGGTCACTCTTGGAGAATAAACAACGTTGATGCCCCCACCTGTGAACATTGTAGGTTTCAATTAAAGTGATCCTCCCGGGGTCGCACCCTGCTTGTAATCATGGGAAATCTTCGTGCTCATACTGCTACAACAGCAACGGCCCCCGCCTGATTTATCCTCGGAATGTATTCCTAAATCTCGCTCTCGCGCGGGGCTGTCTCGCGATGTATCCAGGAATCGCGCTCTCGCGTGAGACTTCCTCACAAGCTATTCAGACGCCGCGCCCTCTACACTCAGGAATCACGCTCTCGCTGTGGTGTGTCTCACGATTCACTTGGGAGGCGCGCTCTCGCTCGAGACCTCCTCGCGATTCACGCAGGACTCACGCTTCAGCAGCCCGCCTGCTCGACCTGGCCGCTTGGGCCCGCCTGCCCGACCCGCCCGCTTGGGTCTGCCCGCCCGATCTGCCCGTCTGGCTCTGCCACGCGTTTTCTGCTCCTAGCCCCCCTCCTGCTGATTTCTCTGGCGCTCAATCCTTCTCCCTCCTCCATCCATCCGTCCTCACGCGGCAGGTAAAAGGGATATACCCCCAAGGGAGTACGATCGAAGACGAAGAGGGCGGATACCTAGGCTTTGTGACATACGCGCTGAGTGGTGCTCGAGCAGATCGGAGCGAGCAGCCTTAAATGATTGTTGTTGCTTTTGTTGAACTCGTTTGGCTCATGTGAGCCAGCGTGGACCCGAAACAATGCGGTATGGGACAGAGAAGGGGAAAGCAAGGCGGGGCAAGCAATGAGGAGAACGCAGCGACGGGAAAGCAAACCCGACAAGTCCAACAACCTTGAACTTGGTGTTGCAAATGTACTGTTGGAAGTAGTCGGTTGCCCTTTCGTGGTCGAGGTGTCTGGCCGGCGCGCAATCAGTTTGCGCGTTATGAGCAACATACGCCCGCCTAGTACAGCCGCTGGAGCTCGAACACTGGTAGCACCAACTTCCATAAGAAAACGCTTGCGCTTACGGGTTCTTCCGGGACTAGGTCTCCGGCCGTGATTTCCCATGATCTCATGATGCTGTACTGTTTCGCGACGCCGAATCTCACGGGACGGGGGTGGTATCAAAGAGACGACTGGCGAATCGTCTGCACGCAACTGGTGTCTGGCCGAGGGAGGCACCAGTGTCTCGAGGCGGTCGCCCCACCAGCGGGGCCCAAACCAGCTGAACGCCGCAGACTTCGCACCCTCCCCCATGCTATTCCAAACCGCCCCTGACATCCTCAGATCTGATTCTCTTCAAGCCGCGTTCCCAGAGGTCCCGACCGCTCCAACAGGGGCAATGTCTCGTACTTGAGCCGTTTTGATCGCCCCAGGGCGCGGCAACGGCCTTCGAGGGCCGAGGTCGAGGATAAAGACGCCAACTGAAAAGTCATGCCGTCGGGGACCTGGGCTTCTCGTCCGATCTGAGCTTTCACCTCCGCCCGCGCCCTGTCCTCGCTGCTGCCAGGTCCGCTTCGGGGCCCCCAGACAGTGTGGTGACGGACCGCGCGGTGACCTCGAAACCCCAAGGGACCTCCACGCACGGTCCGTCTTCGCACAGTCTTGAGACCCCAATCGCCCAAAACATCCCCGGAGAGAGCGTCCCAAGTCCCCCAAACCGTGTTGTCACCCGAATCCCCACTGACTCATCCGAGGTCGCCCAGATGGGGTCGAGTAGGAGGGTCTGAGAATCCCTCGATCGATCCTCGATCCTCGATCCTCGATCCTCGATCCTCGATCCTCGATCCTCGATCCATCATCGGTCCACGAGGATCGATCGCGGCCGCGCTCGAGCCTCGATCCTCGATCCTCGATCTTCGATCCAGACCCCCAGCGTAATGTGCTTTTTTTCCACGACGCCTCCTCGATCCCGAGCCGTTGTTTGACGGTCCCAGGGCTCGGCGAGGGCCTCCCAGAGGGCGAACATTGCAACACCAGAACCGTCCATCCTGCTCTTGTTCGCGACGCGAGGGGGGTCTGAGGATGCTGGGCGTCCTTCTCCCACGCCTCCTCGAACACCGCCTGCGCGCCCCTGGAACCCTCCGGGACCTCCCGCGCGGGGTGGACAACCTCTTGCTGGCCTGCGGGCGGGGGGCGGGCGACTGCACGGACTCGCGGGGGCGGTCTCCACTCTGGACGCCCGAAATGGGTACGGAAGAATGGGCAAAATGCCTAACAACAAATGTTGTCCCAAACCAACAACGGCCGCTGTTGGGCAGGCGGCCTTCTGTCTCAAATGTACACAGGCCGCGGCGACACCGACAGCGATTCCTGTTCGAAATGAACCGGAGCCGCTGTTGGGCATTGTACCCATTTTTTCCGTACCCGTTTCGTTCGTGCCGATCGACGGGTGCACGGCCGGACTGGCCAGATCAGAGACCGGGGGAGCCTCGAGCACCTCGAGGGCGCTGCTGAGCGGGACGAGTCCAGAAGAGGGAGGGGGGGGGGGAAGCAGAGGGTCGGCGGCGAGCGGAGGGGGGGAAGTGAGGAGGAGAAGGCCTCCTCGGAAGGCGGCGGGACTTCTCAGAAGCCCTCGCGCCTTCTAAAAATAGACGAGCGCGTTCCACTATTCGCAAAGTAACTGCTCGCAAATGGCCTGGCCTGGATCTCCCGCCAGGGATCTACGATAAATGGCATCAAAGCAGACATGTGTTCTTTCGGACGTTTGCGAGCAGGCACTTTGCGAATAGTGGAAAGCGCTCTGTAAGAAAAGTTGTCCGTGTCTCCAGGGAAGGCTCAGAACACTTCTCAGGAGGCCGGGGGGCTTCCAAGACTTCTGGGAAGGCCCGCCCCTTCTCACTTCCCCCCTCGCTCGCCACCAAGAGGGGGCACGGTGGAGACGGAGGACGTGAGGGCAGAGGCGGAGAGAGGCCTCGAAAGAGGCCGCTGGCTCTCTCGGAGGTGCCTTGCGGGTCCAGCGGAGATCTCCGGAGGTTTCGCTCTGCTCTCGTCCGATGACGTGTCGCAGTGGGTGAGAATCGTTTGGCTGCGGCGGAGCCTCTCGGGGAGGCCCAGCGGCAGAGTCGAAAAAGACTCTGATTCCCAGTGCCGCGCACCGTGCGCCCGACGACACTCGGGGCGACCAGTTGTGTTTCTAGGATGATGGTCGAGTTAAAAACAACTGGGAACTCCGTTTCGCCAATCGTTTCCACGGATCCCGGGGTGTCTGTGATGCAGCAGTATCACAGCAGCGGCCATATTGTGCATACACCCTCTGGAACCAGGCTGGCGATCAGCGTGCGCTTGCGTCCTAGCGTAGGCCAAGCCAGTGTCACATCAGCGGATGGGTATGACCAGCACGCCACAGTGCTAGCCCGATGACCACACGGACGTGCCTGCATGTTTGTCGACGTACGTACCCAGACATCCAACGTCGTGGTCTCGTAAAGACGTAGATCCCCAATAGGTCTAGACTGCCTGCACAAAGCCACTGGAGGCCAAACGCAGCAAAACCAATGCCATCGAGCGCTTGCCCCACCACGAGCGCAGGTCCTGGGTTCATCGACACACGTGCCCTGATGTGCGCCTTCTACAGTCGGGGCGTTGACCTAAGGAACCCTAAATCAGGAACGAGGCCCCTGTGTTCCATAAGTTAGACGTTAGACTTCGATTCCCCATCAAACACCTAATTAAGGACAACCTAAGGCAAACTGCGAAACAATGAAGGAACACGGAGCCAATCCCCAAAGAAAAGGGTTCCTTGTTCAGCGCCCTGGCTGTAATCCCCCTCATGCGGAACCGGATTGCCAAGACGAGAATGATACGTAAGGGGGGGGGACCAGCAGCGGCCGGAGCACCAAGAACACCAGAGGCGCGGGATGAACAGGAAAGGACGAGTTAAGAGGTCAGAGCTCAATCGCCACGGCTCGTCAGAGAGAACTCCCCCGCTACATCTCCTCCGTGTCCCCCTTCCGTCGCCCTACATGCCTGCGTTCGATATCCTTCCTCCTCCTCCTCCTCCTCCTCCTCCTCCTCGTCTTCTTGCTCCGTCCTCTTTCTCCTATCCCCTCTCTCTGCCTTCTCTTTCGCCCTCGTCCATATCCTCTTTCCCCATGTCTCACTCTTCTCCTCCCCCCTTCATCGTCCTTCACCTCATCTTCCTTCTCCTTCTCATCCTCCTCGCCCCCCTCCTCCCATGTACCCGCCCTCCTCATCCTTGCCCTCATTCTTCTCCTCCTCCTCCTGCTAAGCCTCCTCTCGGCAACAGCTCTTGGTGACCTTCGGTACGCGACTTCAGGCGGCCGCGGGGCTCAAATCTAAGCACACAAATCAGTGCCTGAGACCCTGTGGGCCCGCCGCAAAGGTCATTCGGCTTTCGGGCCACAACTCGGGTCTCCGCAGACTGCTCCAGACAATCCAGACGCTCTCGAGACGCTCTCGGCAGGGCGCGGCTACTGAAGCGCATCCCTGGGTGAAAGAACCTCCGAGCACCGACGACCTCACGCATAGCCGATCCTCCCCATCCTCCCCCCCCAAACCCCCGACGTCGTGTTCTTCAGAACGTCGACCCCCAGAAACCTGGACCCATTCCCGAGGACGGTTTTCTTTTTTGTTCTTCTCCGGGGTCGTTCTCTAACGGCCCGCGGCCGCGCGAGAGCCCCCCTCCCCCCGAGGCCGAACGTAAGCGAAGCCGTCCTTCTCTCCCCGACGCGAGGGGGTCCGAGCCCCGTCTCCGGGCCCCCGAGGCCGCCGCCGCCCGCGCGGGCCCGCCTCGCTTGGCCCCCTTCTCGGACACCTCGACGCGGCTCGACGTGAGCAGGTGCAAGTCCAAGCTCGAGACCCGCAGCTGGGCGGCGAGGGACCTGGGCGGGTGGCGAGGCCGCTCGTCCGCCACCTCGTCCCGCCTGGGCTTCCTCCGCTCACGGTCTCCACCTCCTGCATGCTCCTCGCCCTTGGGCCTCCTCGTGTCTCCCTCTCATCCCCCTCCCTGCGTGTCCTCCCCATCGTCCGTCTCTCTTGTGGGCGGCATGTGTACAGATCGAAACGCATATAAATATATGTTTACCGAAATATACAGATGGATAGAACGGGAGAGAGAGAGAGAGAGGATGAGGGAGAGAACGAGAGAGAGAAGGAGGGAACACCAGAGAGAAAGAGAGGGAGTGTGAGAGAGAGGGAACCTTCTTTCTATCCTTACAGATTCATATATGTAAGCACATAAATCTATATATATATGTATAGGTATATACATGCACATGTGTATGTACATGCCCACATATGTGAATGATGCGCATGCAGAGGCTACCAGCCAGAATCCCAAACGCCGATGTCCTGCAACATATGCAGTCCAACCTATGTGGTACAATCACGTTGGTGCAGTCAAGGTGGTGCAATCCATGTGGTGCAACCGATGAGGTGCGAAATGCAAATCAACACATGGCAGCGCAAAGCAATACCAAGCAATGCAAAGCAATGAAAGAGGATGCAAATCAATGCGTTCCCAAACAATGCAACACAACACAACACATGCAAACCAAGGCAAAGCAATCAACACCGTGCAAACAACTGCGATAACAGTGCGATAGCAAGGCAACGCAATGTGATAGCAATGCTGCAGCACAATGCACAGCAGCGCAAATCCACGCAACGCAACACGCTGCGATTGCATTGCAAACCAATGCGATAGCAACGCAACGCAATGCAACGCAATGCAATGTAAAGAAATGCAGATCGAAGCAAGATAATGCAACGCAGTGCACAGCAATGCAAATCAAAGCAATGCAACACAATGCACAGCAATGCAAAGCAATGCTGAGCAATGCAGCGCAACGAGATTGCAACGGGGGGGATGCAATGGGCGGCGGTGACGGGGCGGCGGCGGGGCGGCAAAGGCGACCACAAGGCGGCGGACCCGACAATGGAGCCACGACGGCGGGCGACGACGAGGCGGTGACGGGGCGGCGACGACAACAACAAGGCGACGGACCCCACAACGGAGCCCAGTTCCATAGAAATTAATCAAGCAGATCAACGCACTGTTCGGAAACTACTCGAAGGAAGAGAGACATGGTGAGGGTGAGAGACAGGGGGGGGAGGAATATATATCTATATATATTGATAGATATACCACATACGCCGATGCCTATACATATCTACAGGTGTATATCTATATAAACAGATATACACATCGAGACAGAGACATGCGCAAGGACGTGGAGACATAGGAAGAAGGGACATGATACAGTAGGTCAAGCCGCGGTAATTCGCAGAGGGGGGTCATAACCTAAGGGGGGGCAGAAAGGTAGAGGACGAACATCGAAGCCAGTACCGGCCGCGATGGCAAGCGAGCAGCACCAGAAGCGAGAGCCGTGCATGAGTATACCCGAGAATAAGCCCGAGGCTCCATGGTGCGCGAGGCGGATTGTCCCATCCCCGTGCCCCGTGGTGGTAGCGGCGGTGGTGGAGACCCACAAACAAGCCTGCGGTTGGCTCCGACCGCCCCAGCGCAAACCACGAGACCCCCGTCGACGCCATTGCCGACGCCGCTGCGAGAACGACACTCACGCATCGCACCATAGTTGGACTCCCTCCGGCCCCACTCTGACGATGTGCAGTGCGCCCTCTTCTCGGCTCCCCGGGACAGGCAAGGCCCATGCACCGCGCCACGTCTGGGTCGGGGATCCACGAAGCCTCGGGAGACGCCAGCGCGGCATGGCTCACACAACTCCGATCCTGGGCGTCCCAAAACGGTGCGGTGACGGGCAGATCAGCGACCCCGAAATCCTCAAAGACTTCGCGGCAAGGTTCGTCACCGCACCCTTGTGCGACCCTGGAGGCCCCAATCGCCCGAAACGACCCCGAAGAACGACCCGAATCCCAAGCCCGCGCGGTCACCCCGAACCCCCACCCTCAACATCCGCCAAGCTGATGTCCCGGGCCCGATAACGGGCCCCAGAGGCTGGACTCGAGCAAGAGCGCCCGGATAAAAGAACACATCGTCGGAGATCTGGGGACCCGTGCGGCCACCCCGAGCCCCCACTGACTCATCACGCGGTGTGGCCACCGCACCACTTGTGGGGCACCCTGGCGATGTCAAGGCCCCCCCTAGATGGAGACCGTCCTCCTCCTCCTCCTCACTCCTCACTCCTCCTCCTCCTCCTTCTCCTCCTCCTCCTCCTCCTCCTCCCTCCTCCTCCTCCTCCTCCTCCTCCTCCTCTTCCTTCTCCTCCTCCTCCCCCTCCCCCTCCTCCTCCCTCTCCTCCTCTTCCTCCTCCTCCTCCTCCTCCTCCTCCTCCTCCTCTTCCTCCTACTCCTCCATCCTCCTCCTCCCCCCCCTCTCTCCGCTCTCCTCCTCCTTCCTCCCTTCCTCCTCCTCCCTCCCCCTCCCTCATTTTTCCTCCTCCCTCCTCTCCTCCTCCCTCCTCACTCCTCCTCTCGCCTCCCTCCTCCTCCTCCTCCTCCTCCTCCTCCTCCTCCTCCGCCCTCCTCCTCCTCCTCCTCCTCCTCCTCCTCCTCCTCCTCCTCCTCCTCCTCCTCCTCCCTCTCCTCTGGTAAATCAGGACGTTGGCGCGACCGAGAAAGCTGCAGACGTGGGCCAGGATGTTCTCAACGATTTGCTCCTTCCAGGTGGCATTTTCAGTATCCTGGTGTGTCACGTGCAAAAATTTTGAACGCCCGAAAGGGGTACCGAAAAAACGGGCACGGCGCTCAACAGCAAATGCTGTCCAACACCGACCGCGGCCGCTGTTTGGCAGCCTGTCTTCTGTCCCAAATGGGCAACATCCGCGGGGACACCGACCGCGAACCCTGTTCCAAATTGACAGGATTGCCTGCCGGTTTTCGTCACCCTTCTGTCCGTACCCACGCCCATCCTCCATGCAATAACTCGAAGAGTCCCCAGGTTCAGGGTCGGCCAAGAGGGGGGGCGTCCAAGAGGGGGGAGCGCAAATCATGGCCAGCGGCATGTGCGCGGCCCAGGGGGGGGGGCCAGGGACGTAATGAAATAAGAAGAGGCGCTATGAAAGCTGAGGAAATATCATGGCCCATGCCACGATACCCCCTCCCCCTAATCATCGAACCCCTCTTGACCGCCCCCGACAGGTGATCGCGGAGCCGCCGCTGCCGGGCCCGGCCCCTTCGCAGGGGAGGGTACATCTGCAAGCACTTGACGGCGAGGAGCTCCCGCAGGGCTTGCGGGAGCGGCACCTCGAAGAGGCGGCCCGCGGCAGCCCTCACCTCGTGGCAGGGCTTTCGTCGTTGTCGCGCGCTCGCGTGCTCCGTGCTCCGAAGACAGAGGCGGAGAAGGAGGAGGAGGAGGAGAAGGAGGGAGGAGGAGGAGGAGGACCAGTGCAAACCCGAGAGCCATCAACGATGTTGGAATACCCCCTCCCTCCAAGCTCCCGCTTCATGGGCCCCTACAACGGGTTATTTCCATTGAGGGATCTGCCTCGTTGGAAGACAACCGTTTGAAGACCCAGAAGCATGCCAAAACATTTTTTCGGGATTCCAACGCCACGGATCAACCTGAGTGTTGCTTCTTGACGATTCTGGATCGTGCCAGAACTCCATTCTTTCGGATTTCAACACCGTCAATCAACGTAGCTGTTCCACCCGCAAAATCCTGAATCCTTCCAGAACAATATTTCTGATACGCTGATCGTGGGAACCCGCAAAATCCTTACAAATTTGATGAGTGGAGTGTGCGCGGCGCTAAGGCGAGAGCCACATGTTGAAAACGGGTTTTCTTCAACCCGTGAAGCTCTTGCTCATTTTTAAAACGAATGTGCGCGGCGCTAAAGCGAGTACCACATGTTGAAAACGGATTACCCTCAATCCGTGGAGGTCTTGCAATTTGTTCTAACGAATGCGCGCGGCGCTAAGGCGACAGCAACATGTGGAATTCGGCCCACCCTCCATCTGTGAAGCTGCTGCCAATTTCTAAGCTTCAGAATAATAAGGGGTGCGGTAGTCTCAGGCGAAACGCCTGGCCCGCCCTAAAAACTTGCCTCGGGGTGCGACAGGGATATATTATTTAAAAAGAAAAGGAATGGAGGAGGAGGTGGGGGAGGAGCACGACAACGGAGCAGGAGGGAGGAGGTGGAAGAAGAAAGCGAATGAGAGAGGACGAAGGAGGCCGAGAATTTTTCCGAGGCTTTCGCAGTCTGCAGCGCCAAGCCTAGCTCTGAACAAATGTGTAAACTACGAAAGGACGAATGACGCGCGAAGCGAGCCGTGGAGGGGACGTGCCGACTAGCGGCGTGCGCGGGGCTACCCTGGCCGCCTCAGGATTCTTCCACAGTGCTATGCAAGGGTGCTAACAGAACCATCTTCCTGTAAGTCCCACCATTCCTTTTCAAATGCCATTGTATGGGACCCACACCCCCTCGCGTCTTGGAAAAACGCGGGACAACTTTTCGTTACTTGCCAGGCGGATTCTGGGGTCACCTGGCAAGGGAGGTCCCCCAGCTTCCGTTGACTAACCAGATGGATCTCGAGATATGGTCAAACCCATGGTCATGTGTATCGCTCTCCAAACAAATAGTTCCCGCCAGAAATTACAACATGTCACATTGTTCCGTTCCGAAAGTTCCTGGGGCATTCCTCCTGTTCACCCTGTGCCTCCTCATGCTCCTCCTGCCGCTTGTCATCCCTCTTCCTCCTGCTCGCATCCCACCTTTACGTGTTCGCATTGCTGGTGATGACTGAACGCTCAGCGGCATCATTAGACATCGCTCAGGACACGGGCAGCGAAGGGACATATTAAACTGTTGATTCCTCGCCTCCAGCAAGCCCCCAAGATAGCACCAAGAGGCCGCCAAGAGACTCTCAGAGGGTCCCAGATCGGCGTTTGTTTCGTGTTGCTGAGGCCGATGCCTCCTTTGCTATGACTGGTGCCACCCTTTTCCGATGCTCATTCGCCTTCCGTCTCGCGACAACTCGCCTACGATACACCTCTGCATCAGCTGGTGGCGATACGGGGCGCGACAGGAATGGCTGGCCTGAGGCCGCCCGACCACGCTGCGTGCTTGGACCGAGGCGGCGCCCGCGCTATGACGCACCTTCGTGAGCAACAGCCAGCGGACCGACCGCGGCCAGCGACATTCGCCGAGCCGCCTGGCCCCGCCTGGCGCTCGCCTGCCGCCAGCGCGAGCGCCGTCAGCGCGAGCATGCAGTGTCTGGGCGTGGCCGAGGACCCCCTGGCGTGAGAACAGCTGCCTCGCGAGACTTGCTCCCCACCTCTCCCCTGCAGGAGGGAGGGGTGCACGCAGGAGCGCCGACGAGCGCCCTGCGCCCACGAGCGCCCTGCGCAGGAGCGCCCTGCAGAAGGACTCATCGCCCTCGACGCCGTCGTTGTCCTCCTCCTCCTCCTTCTCCTCCTCCTCCTCCTTCCCCGTCCGTCTTCCCATCCTCCCCGCGAATGCTCGACGGAGCACTCGCGCCCGCGGGGCCGCGACGCGGGGCGCTCTTCGAGACTGGGGGGTTGGCGTTCTGGCGGGCGGCGACGGGCACGCCGCGCCATCGCGCGCGGAACATGGAAAACGCCTGATGGGGAGGGCGGGGAGGGAGGAGGGCGAGTTAGCATGGGTACAAGCAGAGCACGTGAGAGAGAAGCGTAGGAAGAGAGAGAGAGAGAGAGAAAGAAATAACAGACACACCTATACACATGTAACTGTTTACACACATACATCTGTACTAGAATCACGCGTGCTACGCGAGCGCTTGGGTTTTAGTCAGAGCTGACGCAGGGCTGCCCGCCAGCGCGGTCAATCTCAAGACGGACGTAACTCTACGAAGCCCCGTCGTCGCCGCGACGTCAACTTCCACTGTGTCCCTCGCCGTCGTTGGTCTGAACCACGCGCTCTTCGCACCCGCTGGAGTTTTAGCGCAAACGCCTCCGACTGCAAACTCGATGTTGGACGACCACGGCCAGCATCGACAGAAACAGCATCAGCATCAGCTTTGTCGTCATCATCATCAGCATCAGCATCGTCATCAACATCATCATCGCACTGACCTCCCTCCTCTGCCTCCTCCTCCCACTCCTCCTCCTCTTTCCTCCCCCGCCCTCCATCGAGCCATCAGTCCCTCCATCGCCACATACTCTTTTTCCCCACTCGCCCGACTTGTCCTCCAACTGGTGCTCCCCGTCCTCCTCCTCCCCGTCCTCATTCTCCTCCTCCGCCTCCTCCTCCGCCTCCTCCTCCTCCGCATTCGCCTCCTCATCCGCCTCTCCTCCTCCTCCTCGCTCGCCCCCTCCCCCGCCTCCTCCCCCTCCTGGTGATTCCCCCTCGTCATCCCACTTCCCCCCTCACCTCTCCTCGCTCCCCATCGGGCTGCCCCCCATCCCCTTTCCTACTGCCCCTCGCCCCTTCTCCCTCGTCTCATCCAACGATGTGTTTGTGTCAATGCACAAGCCCTCAGAGGCCCCGACTCGGTCCCCCGGTTGGCTTTCGCCCGGGATCCACATCTGATTGTCCTCGTGGCCCAGAGGCCCAATCCGAGACAAACGACCGTGATTGAAACAAAAAATACGTCGCTGGAGATTATGGACCCTCCTCCTCCCTTCCGCCCAATCCTCCGCCAGCGCCCTCGGGAGATGCCCGAGGCTCCTCGCGCTCGCTCGCCGGCGCGCTGACGAGACGGAGGACTGAAGCCCAAAAAGAGACGACCCGCGCACCGACCCTCGCAACTGAGCGGCGGGTTCGTCCGTCCCTCGATCAACGCAAGGGGGGCCCCCCTCCTTCTCCTCCTCCTCCTCCTCCTCCTCCTCCTCCTCCTCCTGGGTGTCACAGAAGAGCAAAAGACTGCATAACCATGAACTCCGGGAGCCCCGCGCCGATTTCTTGGATCCGCGCTGGGCCCCCCCTCCCTGGCGCGCCCCGCGCGCCGGGGACGGCGCTGGAGGCGCCGCCGGGAGGTCCCAGCGCAGATCCAAGAAATCCGCGGTGCCGTCCGAGAATTTATGTATGTGCTGCCTGTTGCTCATCGATGTCAGCGGGCGCGGTCCCCGTCGGCGTCGGACGGACCCCCCTCGACGCGCCCCTGGGATGCGCTCTCGACGCCGCCCCCGGGGAGGCGCTTCGCGCGTTGGGGGCAAGGTCTGGGGATGGGGCCCCCTGACTTCGAGCGTAGCAGGTTTGATGGGGCGATATTCCAGCATAGCTGCCACAGGCAGGACGTGGGAGAAGGGGGGATGGAAAAGGTCCTCCTCCTCCACCTCCTCCTCCTCCTCCTGCTCCTCCTCCTCCTCCTTCTCCTCATCATCCTCCTATGCCCCGTCCTTTTCCTCCCTCTCCTACCTATGGTAGTGGTGGTGGAAAATCGGCTCATCAAATTTTGTCACCCCAGGTTTCGGGGCCCAGACCCCCGCAGATCGCACCCAGCTCGAGAACTGCCGCAGGAAGATGGGGTCGAGGGCCCAGGCTGGCACGTGCCACGGTTTTACAAGATCTTGGCGACGAGGACCCCAAGGTCCACGATGTGGCTCGCCCAGTCAATGCGCGGACGCGGGGATTCCCGCCCCTTCCCCGGGGGATTTTTTTCCGCCCCGAATCCATGGTTGCTGGCCCTGGGGCCAGATAACAGATTACGCAAGACAAAGCCAGGACGAAACAAAGCAAATCGGGTGCATATGAATCGAAGATCTCTGAGACCCTGCGGCGCTGGAGGACGTCTCGGGCGCTGCGGCCTTCTCAGAGCGTCCCGGAACGCTCTGAGAGCGTTCTGGAATGCTCTGGAACGGGCGTTGGGAAACCATCAAATACCGACACCGCTACTCCCTGGACCTTTCCCGGGGTGCGCTCCGCTCAGGATTTCGAAGCGAACCCTGTGATGGTGGCGAGGGCCTCCCAGGAGGCTGAAGAAAGAAGGCGAACGAGGATAGAGTAGCGCTAGGGGTACTTTTTCCTTCTCGTGGCTCGGGGACGACTTTCTCCTCGTCCCACCCCCGCCCGATAACGGGCCCTGCATAGAGACGAAAGGCGAGGGACCAAGGCCGTGCTCACGGCGATGCTGCTTAACGGCGAAGTTGGAAACCAACCTATGGCAAATCACAAACCACATCCTTCTACATCTCCCATATGCGAATGCAGGGAACGAAAACGACACAAAACATTACAGGAAAACGCAGGTCACACGTTCCCAAAACACCGAAACGTACCTCGCCGTTACCCACATCGCCGTTAGCGTGCCGACGTAGGGAACTCACCGGCATGCGGGGGCGTCATCGTGTCTAC